TCTGCCTTCATCTTCACATGGTGTTCTCCCTATGTGTGCCTATGTCCAAACTGCCTCTTTTTATAAGGAAACCAGGCATATTGGATCAGGGCCCACCTTAATGACCTCATCACAACTAACTGTATCTGCAATGACCTTGTTCCCTAATTAAATAAGATTCGGAGGTAGGACCTCAACACATGAATTTGGGGAGAACACAGTTCAACCTATAACTAAGAGAGGTGTTGGTGGGGGATTGGGGTTGGCTTGTGGGGGAGGGCTTATGTGTGCGTTCCACTTGGTTAGGAAGGTTCTCCAGGGCACATGTGCAATGGTACCCAGTATTTCTTGTGAAGGGGTGCACCTGTTATTGTGAACACACGTAAGCAATAGATGCAGGGACGTGCTAACAGTGACCAGGTATGAGCATTACTGTGCCATCCCTGGCCCACACATTGCCACCATTGGTACCAACTTCAGAACTTTTTTCAGAGAGTCCTGCTGCCTTTAAGTTAAGAAAATTGACAAACAAGGCTTCTAATAATGCCATTCTCATTGAGTATTGAGACTGTATTACCTCAGTTACAACAGAATAGAATTTTTAAAAATATAAACTTAAAGATTTAAAGCAGTCTCACTATATGCTTCTGGGGTGGGTTGGGGGGTGTAAATGCAAGCCACCATTTGCTCACCCTGTGCAATCTTGATTATTGAGTGTGCCTGCTATGTATGCAAAGTGTACATTAAGACTGGCTGTAAGGGCCTTAGGAACTCATTTCTTCTACCGTTTACTTGGCACTGCTGTTGCTGTATAAGTGCTATGCAAATGATCAAATGATTTGGGTGCAATATCTATCAGTAAATTCATATACCAAACCAGTTAAAGTAAGGAAAGGATAATAATGACAATTCTTAAAAACAACAAGACCATTGCTAATGAAGATCCATGAACTAGAAAACAGAAGCAAGGTTGCTGACAGCTCAGCTCTGTCTTGGCAAAGGCTACTGGGATCCAGGTCGGGTTCTGTGAACTATTACAGCTAAATGCTGGAAAACACGGGGTTTGATAAATGCGGGATGCTTTGGGGTTTCCAGCCCTGGATGATCAGTCCACACCCATCCACACTGCTTATTCCTGAGGCAACACAGGGCAGGGCCACCAAGCCTAGCCACCCCATCAGGACAGCTCATACATGCATGTCCCAATCACAGTCAAGTGAACACGGGTTTTGGAGTCTGACCTAGGTTTCAGTTGCAGTCATGCTGCTAATTGCTATGTCACCAGGGGCAAGAGGCTATTCCTCTTTGAGC